TCACTTGTGGGTAGGCTCTTGTGGTGTCCAATTATGTGGATGAGGTTCGTGCAACACCTCTTAGCCGCCGAACCATAAAGTGTTGGTCGACACAACGAGGACTAGTGTGCTGGCAAGCACATGAACCTCGAGAGAAAAATTGCTTCTCTTGCATATTGGTATTGTCCCGGTGATTGTATTGGCATTCATATTGTGATTGGTTCATCCTCTACACGGTGGTATAAGCTTTCCACTCACTCCTTTACTTACTTGCAAACTAGTTGTAACAAGCTCTTTAGTGTAATTAGTTTTGAGAGCTTGTTTTGCTTGCTAGTTAAGTCCACCTAGTGGAACTCTTTAGTGTAGCAAGTTTGAGAGCTCTTAGTGAGTAGCAACTTAGCCTCTTGTGTGCCTAGTGATCATAACAACTAGAATTGTTGGGTAGGTGGCGTGCAACCCTTGTAGAGCTAGAGCAAGTTTGCATTTCGCCGTTTGTCATACCAATCAAATTGCTCTAGTGATCTGGTAGGTTTTTAAATAGGCTATTCACCCCCTTCTAGCCATATTAGGACCTTTCACCAACTTTTTCCCTTCCCTATGTTGCATATGTATGTTTCAAGTGTTTTAGGTGTTTTAGATGTATGTTGCAATTGTTTCATATGGATGTTGCAAAAGTAGATCAGAGGATGTTGCATATGTTGCAATTGTTTTAGAGGCATGCTTTTTTACCAGAAATTTTAGAGGTGTGTTGCAAGCGTATGTTTGAGTGTTTCATATGTTTTAGAGGTATGTTGCAAGTGTTTTAGATGGATGTTGCCAAAGTAGATCGAGATGTTGCAAATGTTGCAATGGTTGTGCACGAATATTGCAAAGGTCTGTCACTGAAAGCTCTAGTTTGGTTTTGATGAATTGATGAAATCCTAAGTGCTAACCCTTTTACTCTAAGTGATCATGAGATAGGGTAGCACATTCCAAGTGGTGGAGCAAACAATGAAGACATGATGTTGTTGGTGTGACCATGGTGACGATCAAGTGCTCGAACTTGGAAAAGAAGAAAGAGAAAAACAAAATGGGCTCAAGGCAAAGGTGAAATCCATAGGGCCATTTTTGTTTTGGTGATCAAGACACCTAGTGGGTGTGATCACATTTAGGATAGATAGCCATACTATTAAGAGGGGTGAAACTCGTATCGAAATGCGGTTATCAAAGTGCCACTAGATGTTCTAACTCATTGCATATGCATTTAGATTCTAGTGAGTGCTAACACCCTTGAAAATATTTGTGAAAATATGCTAACACACCTGCACAAGGTGGTACACTTGGTGTTTGTCACATTTTAGCAAGGGTGGTGAAGTTTGGAGTTGAGAAGGGGCTGTCTCGAGGTGACCGGACGCTGCTCTAGCAACGACCGGACTTAGTAGCCGCATTCGGTCAGTGGCGCATAGTGAAGGCCACCATCGGTCTTGTGACTAGACACTGTGCAGTAATTCTGATTGGACGCATAGGTCCTGTGACCGGTCAGGGGATGACGTACGCTGACGCAAGCAGTTGAGCGAGGCAGTGAAGATCGGACTCACCAGCGCGTCCGGTCATGAGTGACCTGACACATCCGGTCGGCAAAAATCGCCTCTGTATGCTTACTGGAAGTGATCTGATGCTGGTTTGCCATGGGGAGCGGCGTGTCCGGTCGTTGGGTGAAGCAGCGAGGGCGCGCGTGAGCAGGTGTGGCACTGGCGCGTCCGATCCTGTCTCGAGCGCGTCCGGTCATTACTTAACCGCGAAGACCATTGGAACTCGACCGTTTGGATCGCGCGGTCATCATTGAATGCTGAGACATGTGGACGCTGATCCACAATCGGGCGCTGGGGGGGCGTGTCCGATCATACCGACCGGCGCGTCCGGTCGCCACGAGAATCTATGAAGTGAGAGCCAACGGCTCTATTTCGTGGGGGTTCCTATTTAAGCCCCATGGCCGGCTCTAGCTCACTCTCTTGGCCATTTGTATTGACATAGCAACCCTGTGAGCTTAGCCAAAGCCCTCCCACTTATCTCCATCATTGATTCATCATCTTTGTGAGATTGGGAGTGAATCCAAGTGCATTGCTTGAGTGTCTGCATCTAGAGGCACTTGTTGATTGTGTTTTGATACGGGATTCGCTCGTTTCTCTTGGTGGTTGCTGCCACCTAGATAGCTTGGTGAAGCGAGGATTGTCGAGCGGAGGAGGTGCTTGTCTCTGACTCCGATCGTGGTGATTGTGAGGGGTTCTTGACCTTTCCCCGGCGGAGAGCCAAAATGTACTCTAGTGGATTGCTCATAGCTTGTGGATCCCCATCTTGTGTTGGTTGTGCGGCACCCGATTGTGGGTTAGTCGTGTGATGCACATTAGCGCGTGAACCTCCAAGTGGGTGAATCGCTATAACAAGGACGTAGCTTGCCGGCAAGCAAGTGAACCTCGGAGATAAATCATTGTGTCATCTTGTCCCGAGGATTTCTTGGTATTCATTGTGATTGTTTGATCATCTCTTACCATGACGGTATAACTCTACTACCCTACCTTGTATTTACATTCCTAGTGTAGCTAAACTCTTTATTATAATTAGTTTTGAGAGCTAGCTTGTGTCGTGTCTAGTGGTCAGTGAGGCTCTTTAGTTAGTCTTTAAGAGCTCACTAACTTAGTGGTAGCGACCTAGCATTGTGTGCTTAGAGACTATAGTAACTAGAATTGTGGTGGGTGGCTTGCATTTTTAGTAGGCTAGCATTGTTCTTGTAGAAATTTTTATAGGCTATTCACCCCCCTCTAGCCATTAGGACCTTTTAGTTGCCAATGTTTCATCTGTGTTTTCTGGACGCATGTTGAAAGTGTGTGTTATCTGGATGTTGCATATGTTTTACATATACGTTGCATGTGTTTTATTTGGATGTTGCGTATGGTTGCAATAGTTTTCAAGTGTTTTTAGGTATTTTTTCAAGTGTTTCAGAAGCATGTTTCAAGTGTTTCATCTGCCTTTAGACGTACGTTGCAACCGTTGTATTTGAATGTTTCAAAAGTAGATCGGGTGTTGCATCTCTACTCCCCACCTTCTGTTGCATCGTCTCGGTGTGTCCTTCTCTCGGTGCCGGCAGGGCATCCATATAACGCCGCGACCGGGTCCTTCTGAATCGGAGGCAACACCCCCTTCCCCTCTTGTCGCTCGGGCGGCGTGGGCCCCACGTGGAGCGCGCAAAACGAAGTGCAGCGCGTGGGCTTTCGGGTGCTAGAACTGTCCATTTTTTAAGTGCCTTCTAAAAAAGCTAGTATTTTTAATATAATATTTAGATGTATTTTTGCTAACTGACTTAGCTCCATTTTTATTTTTATTAATCAAAACAAAAATACATTATGTCACGGAAAAGTTTAGGATTTGTTTACTTGATAATAATTTTGCAATAGTCTTCTATTTATTTTAACATAATTGTTCTCTCATCGGTGTCCTATGGCATCCACTGGTATAAACTTTGTGTAGCTATTGTCCACCAATCCCTTGACGCAAAGCTATTGTCATACCCAACTCCTCTTTTCTTTTGTCTCACTACAATCCCTTGGCTATGCAATTTTTGTCGTTGCAAAATCAAGATAGCCTTTTCAATTTCTTCTTGATGAGCTTAATCCCTATATTAAATCATTGTCCACATCTCATAACTGTTTAGTTCCTCACCCTCTTATAGAATCATCTTATATCTTCTCTTGAAGATCCATAGTTAATTTACGCTAGGCTAATACATCATCAAATTTATCATAAATGTTGCACATATATTAGAGCCATTAGCTGCTCGGCCCTATCTTCGCGCCAACATCCATCACTGCTTGTAGCCTTCTCAAACAAATTATGAAAGAATCATTGGCACTAGTGAGTTGTTGAGACCCGCTATCATGTTACCCTACCGCACCATTGTCGGTCATGGTATGACCACATTTGTTTGTGTGGGTTACTGTACACCATACCATCGTTGATAGAAGTATATTTTATGAAAAGGCAAATCTATACATACTCACTCCCTAACATTTGAACTCAATACATAAAAAAATATTTTTATAGTCCTAGTCTAGAACAATTGACTTAAGGCAACTCTAAAACGCTACTTATTTGGAACCCAAGGGGATATTCAAAATTGTTTTGTTTCCTAAAATTGCTACATGAAATGCGAATGTAGTATGCTTGGTACTCGCAATTTTCATGCTTAATTGACCTTTCCATACTTGAAGACATGAAATATCTCTTGCTTGATTAGCCAATTAGCCTGCTTGACTTATTCCGATCGAATAATGTAAGCTAATGGAAGGAGCATGGGCATGTGCCAAACACGCAGCCATATGACGCTGTTCGCGTGGTCTGGCCCGCGCCAATTACACCGGACGGCTGCAAGGGGAGGTTCCAGTGAATGTCCCTTGAGTTTTCCAACAAGATATGCTGAAAGGGCATCCAAAAAATAGATGCAGTCGATCTTCTTTAAAGACCTTTAGTTGCTGAGAGAACAGCTAATAATTAGCCTGAGACTAAACGCCATATTCGCTTGGCTTATAAGCTGTACTTTTTCAACCAACGAATAGTATTTTTCTTTCACAACAAATCAACCAACAGTACTTTCAGTCATGGCTTATCAGCCAAGCGAACGGGGCAAAAATCATGTTTAGATTTGGTTCTCCAATCCTAGCTAACTCTTAACAGGATTCATAGTTCTTCTTAGAAAACAAGACAAAGTCACATATGCAGCCCAAAACGGGCGATTACCATTTGGTACTATTCGAAACTGAAACGTAAGTAATAGGGTTCATAGTTCTAGCAGAGTTTATTCACCGAACACAAGACTTTACAAGGAACATAACTGCATCCACCATTTCTTCCGCCTCATTAAAGAGAATTCTTAGAGTTCAAAAGCTACAACTCCCAACTCCCATCCACGACACACAAACAGCAAACCAGAGGAGCTGAGCGACCTTCACCAAGGCTTCGATACAACATAGTTTCATGGCCACACTCAATCAGTAAGACTTAGTAGCATCGCTGTCACTCTTGGCAGCTGGAGTCTTCTCAGCGGCAGACGTGAAAGACACAGGGAGATGTGGTTGGTCATTCACTACCAAGCTAAGGACTTCAGGTCGAGAATAGTGCCCCACCACGTCGAAATCAAACTTGGCTCGAACTATCTCTCCCAGGTCTGCAAATGGCAACAAGAATGTGGTACGGTTTTCAACACTTCAAAATTGGTACTGAAACAACTATGGAAACACAACAGAACTATTCATGACTGCATGAGCAAAGCATATTGAGTGTCTGCTTTCTTACCAAGGTCTGCTGTAATCAGTGCCTCTCCCTCATAGTTGGGACCTGCCAAGACTTCTCCAGATGGAGAAATGATAACGCTGCCTCCAGGGCAAACAACAGTGTCTGCAGATGGCTCTTCACCTAAACCAGCAAACTCATACTCCGGTGGGGGAGGGTAGTCCTTTCTGCGGCAGAATTGGTTTGCTGACAAGACAAAGCATCCCCCCTCCAAAGCAATGTGTGTCATGGAGGCTTGCCAAACAGGCCTGGAGTCAGCAGTGGGGGCACAGTATATCTCAATACCTGCACATTACATAAGTTAAGAAACTCAATACAAGTTCTGGTGTCAATGCCTCTTCAGTAATTGCTTATCTGACTAGAGCTGAATGTTTATTTCCATTTCAATTCAAGGCATCGATCCAATGAATGTAAGCTGTCTTGGAAATTTATCAACATGAGACTAACTCTTACCTTTACCATACAGCGCTGTCCTCAAAAGTGGCATTTTATTTTCCCAGCAAATGAGCGCCCCAATCTTTCCAAGTGGAGTATCATAAACAGGAATAGTCGATCCATCCCCAAATCCCCATATAATTCTCTCTAATGCTGTAGGCATGAGCTTGCGGTGCTTACCCAAGTAACGGCCAAGAGGATCAAAGAAAAGCACCGAACAATAAAGGGTATAACCTTCCCTTTCAATCACACCCATGACCAAGAAAACCTTATATTTTCCAGCCATAGCAGCCAAGCGTGAAACCTCTGGACCTGTAGATTCTTCTGTCAGTAAGTAGATATATAAATGCATCGACTGTGATAAACAGAAAAATAAGTAACTATAATATTTAGCTGCTAAACCTAAAAAAGGATCTCAAGTTACTGGGTAATACAACTCATTGCTGGAAATGGAATAACATGGTCGCAACATGTCAATGAAGCAGCACTACCAAGTATCAACAAAAGGGCCAACTTAGATGATTTTCCACATATTGACCACATGCACTATTGTTCATCTACTTTGTCATCTGAATCAGGAAGAGTGAAAAGAATTATCAAATAGTTAGCATATTCTGGAAGTCCATACAAGAACTTCTTCTTGACCAACCGTATACAAATTGCAATACATCAAGCACAAAAATACATAACGATATTCCCAACATTCAGGGGGAAAATGGAGAAGTGTTAACACCTAAGTGCCTTGAGAGCCAGTTCAACAATGATAAGAGAATTAATAATAATGCAGAGATATGTCCATAGTATTTCCACGTACCAGGCACATCTATAGCAGCTGCATGATACCTCCGGAATGCTTCCTTTCCCTTGTCTTTTGGATTAATAATACTAATACTGATCCCGAAGCCAAATGTGGATCCACGAGGATAGCCTCCAATAAAAGCTTCCGGAAAGACAACTAACTGTGAACCATACCCAGCAGCCTCAGCTACCAATCTCTCTGCTTTATCTGTAGAGAAAATAGTTGACAACAAACCGTATTTATATACAAGTCCATCGAAATGTATCTTCCCCTCCCAACGATATTAATAGCTCATACATATCCAGGTAAAAGTAGAAAATCATCCATCCCTGTTCCTCTCCTGGGCAATGGCATTGATGGGATGTGGTGAACATGGAACTTGGCCAGAACACAACCCACTACAACAGCAAGCCTTGAAAGCATAACCGCAATGCCTTTTTTTTTTTGAAAATTTTATTAGTAGAAAAACATTTCATTCAGATTACACTATCTGCAGTTTCTTTAAACAAGTCAGGCAAAAAACAAATACCGGGACATATATGCCCACACGATCATCGGAACTTTCCCTTCTGATAGCCAGCCTAAGTTAAACTCAAGTATTGCGTTTTCTGCTTAAAGATCCTCCAGTGAAATGTATGAAATAGAATGAACAGATTTCTTACTCATGAATCCATGACAAGCTTAATGCTGACCATTAGCTATTAAATTTCCAAAGTAATGAGCTAGAAGAAGCAGGGAGATTGATAGGTTTTTCCTTTTTACTATATACAGTAATCTATTCTCACATTAATTTTCTCCCCTTCATGGATTCTTTCAATGAAGAACTATCTTTTTATTTTTATTTTGATTTGATTGAAATTAAGTGGATGCAGTGAAAAAAATAAGTTGAACTAGACTACTATTTTAATCTACTAATCAATTCTATGTAGATTCAAGATAATATAATAGAAACGAATCTAAAGTGTTGTAGAAGAAACTATATGTAGTTGTTTCTACCACCCTTTTATGATTCCAACCTGTCAGCGAAAACAGCACTGCAACGGCTAAAGCCGCCCAGCGCGCACTCGCCACGGCTCCGCGCGCACTCGCCGCGACGCCAACCGAATGACCCGGTCTCCACGGCGCCCACGCTCCCGCTCTGTGCGCTCGCCCGCTCGCGTGTAACGCCCTCGCCAGTACAGGCTTGGCCAAAGGCCATGATTGTAATCTATATATGTACATGCCATGATCAATAGAATGTTGTCCAGTTGATCAATACAAATCTACATGGTATCATCGTCCACGGTTCTCTCCGAGCATCCCTTCGCCACTTCTCCTTCCGCTGCTCCAATGGCGCCCTCCTCCCACCACTCCGACTCCTCGTCGGATGACGACCTCTCCATCGCCCCCGCCGCCGCCTCTGCGATCCAGGGCATCTCCATCCGCCACCACGTCCCTATCATCCTCGACATGGACGAAGGCAACTACGGCCAGTGGCGCCACTTCTTCGATTCCACCCTCGGCAAATTCGGTCTCGAGGGCCACGTTCGTTCCCCCACCCCGTCCCAGGAATGCGATGGCGAGTGGCGCAGGGTTGATTCCTGCGTCGTCAAATGGATCCTCGCCACCGTCTCCAAGGGCGTTTTCGACATCGTTCGCCGCGATCGCCACAACGCTTTCTCCCTCCAGGACAACGAGCTGCAACGCGCCGTGTATCTCGAGACCGAGCTGCGCACACTGCAGCAAGGCGACATGTCCATGAACGACTACTGCACCAAGCTGAAGCGGATCGCGGATCAGCTGCGCGACATCGGCATCCCGTCTCCGAGCCGAGTCAGGTGCTCAACCTCCTCCGCAGCCTCAATCCCCAGTGCCGCTACGTCAAGCCAGTGATCACGTCCAAGTACCCGCTGCACTCCTTCCAGAGCGCCCGTTCCTTCCTCATCCTCGAGGAGCTCAGCACTCAGCACGACGCCAACGCCGAAGCTGGCCAGGCCCTCGTTGTGACTCACAGCGACAACCCCAGCGGTTCCTCCAACTCGGCGTCCACCAGCCACAAGGACGGGTCTTCTTCCTCCACAGCGCCCCGATCCACCAACGGCGGCAACAACCGTTCCAACAACCGCCAAGATCGGCGCCGTGGCCGAGGTCGCGGCAACGGCGGCGCGCCGCAATCCAACAACTCCAACAACTCAAGCGCACAGTCGGCGCCATGGGCCGCGGGCTACAATCCCTGGCAAGGCATGGTGCAAGCCTGGCCCATGCCTTTCCGCGCCCCCGGAGCAGGCGTTCTGGGACCTCGTCCGCCGTTCCAGCCGCAGCAGGCCATGACGGCCACGCATCCGTCTGCACCTTCGCCTGGCGGCCCCTTCGACACTAGTGCCCTCTACGCTACACTCCAGTCCGCCGGCGTTCCCCACCATCCTCCGAGCGCGTCTGAGTGGTATTTTGATACTGGCGCGTCGTCACACATGTCGTCATCTCCTGGTAACTTCTCTCCCTCTTCCCTGCGATCAACATCTTCTACTATCACAGTAGGCAATGGTGCTCGTATGCCGGTCACACATCAAGCACAAACACTCATTCCTACTGCCACCTCCCCTCTCCGATTAAATGATGTTCTTATTTCCCCTCATCTCATTAAGAACTTGATCAGTGTTCGCCGCTTAACTCGTGACAACAATGTTTCTATCTAGTTTGACCCCTCTGGTTTCTCTATCAAGGATCTTCCGACCAGGCGGAGATGCTCCGATGTGAAAGCAGCAGTGACCTCTACCCCATCCGCCTTCCACAACACCAAGCCCTCACTGCTTCATCGGCAACATCTCTGTGGCATCAGCGGCTGGGACACCCCGGAAACCCCATCACTTCTCAAATTTTACAAACTTTTCCTTTTCAATGTAATAAATTTGATGCTCATTCATGTTCTTCTTGCCGGCTGGGGAAACATGTTCGTCTTCCCTTCGCTGACTCTGCATCACATACATTTTTTCCTTTTCAGCTAGTTCATTCAGACATATGGACGTCTCCAGTTCTTAGTCATTCTGGTTATAAGTACTATGTCGTTTTTCTTGATGATTATAGTCATTACTTATGGACAATTCCACATCGAAATAAATCCGATGTTCTTCCCACTATTCGTTCCTTTATTTCCTATGTCCACACTCAATTCCGTATGCCCATCGTCGCCTTCCAGACAGACAATGGACGGGAGTATGACTCTACCGCCATGTGTCTTCTCCTCTCCTCTCTCGGCACACAACTGCGTCTATCCTGCCCCTATACTTCATAGCAGAACGGGAAGGCCGAGAGAATTCTACGAACTATTAACGATTGTATTCGCACTATGTTAATTCACAGTGGAGCACCACTGGCGTTCTGGGCCGAAGCGCTGGCCACGGCGACCTACCTGATCAATCGTCGTCCATGCCGCGTCACGAGCGCTGCGACACCGTACACCATGCTCTTCGGCGTGGCGCCCTCCTACAACGAGCTACGCGTTTTCGGATGCCTCTGCTTCCCCAACATGATCGCCACGTCGCCTCACAAGCTCGCCGCGCGATCCACAACCTGTGTCTTCATCGGGTACCCGGCTGATCACCGTGGCTATCGTTGCTACGAGCTAGCGACGGGTCGGGTCATCACGTTGCGCCACGTGGTCTTCGACGAGTCTGTCTACTCCTTCCGCGACTCCACCACGCCCGCCACTGCTGCATCGTCACCAGTGGCAGATGATCCGCCGTTCATGCAGACGGGCCACGCCACAGCTGCCGCGCGCCGTCACCTGAGTCCGCCGCCGTCGCCGCCTCGCCTCGACATCGATCTACCACAACATCCGAGGCGCGCGCGCACAGCGCGACACATCCATGCACCGATGCCAAATGGTGCAGACAGAGGCTCATCTTCAACGCCAGAACCCACATCACCACCAGTGCCCGCGCCTGGATCTGCCGCGACGTCGCCCATTGCATCACTGTCCGCGAGTCCATTGGCTGCAGCGCCCGCGGTCGCCACTGCAGCGCCACCAGCACATGACGCCATAAATCCTGGACACCCGATGATCACTCGTGCTCGGGCTGGGATCCACAAACCCAATCCGAAGTACGCCATGGCGGCCTCAGCGACCATCTCCCCGATCCCCCGGAGCGTCCGCAACGCAGTCAAGGACCCCAACTGGTATGCTGCCATGAAAAGCGAATTTGATGCGTTGCAGGCTAACAAGACCTGGACTGTCGTGCCGCGACCACCCGACGCTCGCGTCATCACCGGCAAATGGGTCTTCAAACACAAGATGAATCCCGACGGAACTCTAGAGCGATACAAGGCCCGATGGGTTGTTCGTGGGTTCAACCAGTGCCCCGGAGTCGATTTCGGCGAGACATTCTCACCGGTAGTCAAGCCGGCCACAATCCGCGCCGTTCTCACGCTCGTGGCGACGTACAACTGGCCGGCTCATCAACTCGACGTCTCCAACGCCTTCCTCCACGGCAACCTTCGCGAACGGGTGTACAGCCAGCAACCCACCGGGTTCGCCGATCCTCAGCGCCCGAACGATGTCTGTCTCTTGTCGCGGTCCCTCTACGGTCTTCGCCAAGCACCACGGGCGTGGTTCGAACGCTTCGTCGGGCACGTCACCAGCTTGGGGTTCATTCAGTCGAAGGCCGACTCCTCCCTCTTCGTCTACCACCGCAACGGGGCCACGACATACCTGCTTCTATATGTCGACGACATGATCCTGTCGGCATCCTCGGCGTCGCTCCTTCGCCATGTCATCACTCGACTACACGACGCATTTGCTGTGATGACATGGGGCCAATTCGACATTTCCTCGGCATCAACGTTCGATGTACCAAAGATGGCTTCTTCCTCTCCCAGTCGGCGTATGCCGAGGATCTCTTGGAGCGCGCTGGCATGGCCAACAGCAACCCCGTTGCCACGCCTGCGGACACCAAGCCGAAAGCATCCGCTGTTGACGGCAAGCTCATCAACGACGCCACCGCTTACCGAAGCATCGCTGGCGCATTGCAATATCTGACGATCACACGTCCAGACATTGCGTACGCTGTGCAGCAAGTGTGCTTACACATGCACGCACCGAGGGGCGTGCACCAAACGATGATGAAACGCATCCTCCGATACGTCAAAGGGACGGCGAGCCTCGGCATCCAACTGCGTGCCGCTCCTTCACCGACGATCACCGCCTACAGCGACGCCAACTGGGCCGGATGTCCAGACACGCGACGTTCGACTTCAGGGTTTTGTGTCTTCCTCGGCAATTCACTCATCTCGTGATCATCCAAGCGACAAACCACGGTGTCAAGGTCGAACGCCGAAGCTGAGTACCGCGCCATCGCCACCGCCGTCTCCGAGTGTTCTTGGCTTCGACATCTTCTTGGCGAGCTCCTCTGCAAGGTTCCCTCAGCGACTGTGGCCTTCTGCGACAACATATCGTCAGTTTACATGTCTAGGAACCCTGTCCACCACCGACGAACCAAGCACATTGAGCTAGACATCCACTTTGTTCAGGAAAAAGTGGCCATTGGAGAGCTTCGCGTCACGCACGTTCCTAGTGCGCGCCAACTCGCTGATGTGTTCACCAAAGGGCTGCCTTCAGCGCTGTTCTTCGAGTTCAGAGACAGCCTCTCCGTCACTGCGCCCGACGTCGAGACTGCGGGGGGGTGTCAGCGAAAACAGCTCTGCAACGGCTAAAGCCACCCAACGCGCACTCGCCACGGCTCCGCGCGCACTCGCCGCGACGCCAACCAAATGACCCGGTCTCCACGGCGCCCACGCGATCCGGTCTCCACGGCGCCCACGCTCCCGCTCTGTGCGCTTGCCCGCTCGCGTGTAACGCCCTCGCCAGTAGAGGCTTGGCCAAAGGCCATGATTGTAATCTATATATGTACATGCCATGATCAATAGAATGTTGTCCAGTTGATCAATACAAATCTACACAACCAGATCCTTTCATTTATTAAGACTTGGATTTTTATTTTCTGTAATCCCACTTTTAATTTCTTCAATGATTAATTGTGATTTCAGTTAATCATTTTGGCTGGCTTTTTTTTGCATAAAATAATAAGTAAAAACAGCAACTGGCAGGGGGGAAGCTTCCACTCTGGCTCCTACATCTCTGCTACTGCGAGTGGGGCGAGGAAATCTCCATCACAGGAGCACCACGGAATCAGCCTCCTTACGCATCTCCACCCACCCTTTTCCCCCATTTCAACCACTCGTACAGTCACAATTCGGCGGCGCGCCCTCATATCCCTCCGTGCGCGCGTAAGAGGCAATCAGACGAACAGCTTGCGACCTTGCGTAGACGCGCACTGACGGAATAACAGTAGTAGAACAGAGAAGGGAGTTGGAACACGAGCGTGTGCTCACCGAGAGTGGCGGGCGTGTCGTGGAAGATGGTGGACGCCTGCACGACGGTAGCGCGCACGGTGGTCGCGTTCGGGTCGGCGCCGCCGTTCATCGCCACCTCGGCGATCACCTGGCCGGCACCCGAGCCTGAGGTGACCAGAGCCATCAGGGGAGGCTTGCTTTGCTGCTAGCCTGCTAGCACTTGCTTGGGCGAGCGCGACGCGGAGGGCGGAGGCGGGGAGCAGGGGACAAGGGAGCTCGCGTGGAGCGGATCAGTAGTGGACGGTGGACCCTGAGAACCGGGCGGGTTTTGGTTTGGTGGGGCGAGGCAGGGAGGGAGGAACGTTCTATTCTATCATATCACGATGCTTCGAGTAGGCTCGTGGTTCGTTTTCGTATCTCTTTCCCGTTTTTTTTTCTATGGTACAAATCACATATATAAAATTAAGGTCTGGTTTGATTGGAGGGTCTAAAATCTAGCCGCTAAACTTTAGATCATCTCCCAACAGATGATCTAAAGTGCTATATAAAGTGGTCTAAAGTTTAGCTACCAACTAAAACTTAGGTCTTGTTTAGATTGCAAATTTTTTCACTCTCTCTCTATTACATCAAATCTTTGGACACATGGTGTTAAATGAAGATAAAAAAAATAACTAATTACATAGTTTGATTGTAAATTACGAGACGAATCTTTTGAGCATAGTTAGGTCATGATTGGACAATAATTATCAAATACAAATGAAAGTGCTACAGTGCTAAATACTGATTTCTAACCCCAATCTAAATAAGGCCTTAGACCATGAAATTCTAATAGGAGTGCTATCTAAAGTGGTCTAAAATTTAGCCATTGACTTTAGCCAACTAAAACTTAGACCATAAAATTCAAATAGGGCCTAAGACTCATAAGGAAGAAGATTCCAATATATTGGTACAAGTGTATGAAAAAGAGTTGAGAATTAAAGCTTGTATATACTTCCTCCGTCACATAATAAGTCCTTCTAGAAGATGACACTGCTACCAATACTCAAGGAAAACGACCGTAATGCCCCTAGGAATTCTAGCACTAGCAGTCCACCATCAACTCGTCCACCTCCGCGCCAGCTGCTCCACCTCCGTCTCTGCATCGGTCGCTGCGAGGGCTTCGGCGTGAGGGCCGCGCTCACCCCGTCGACCCTATGCACGTAGCGCTCCTCCTCATCGACGCACGAGCCTCTCCCAGCACGCGGTGGCATCTCGGGCCTGGGGCCACACTCATCCACGCCGATGGAGGAGAAGAAGAGAAAGGCGCCAACCGGAGGAGAAGGGGAGGGAGGCAACCGATGGAGGAGAAAAAAGGAGGGTATCAGATCTCGACGGAGGAGAAGAGAAGTGGCGCTGGCATGGATAGGGTGGCAACGATCGGTGGGGAAGGGGGCGGCGACGGTCGACGATGATAGGGATGGGATGGATCGACGGGAACTGGGGGAGGGGATGGGGGAAGAAGGGAGCAGCACATAGTGGAGGCGGGAGTGGGAGGTGGGGGGATTAACGATAGAGGGAATTTTTTGTGAGACATTATAAAAGATCACAATTCTCTGTAAGTTATTGAAAAAGTTCGGCGGACTTCAGCACCACTGCTCCAATTTTTTCTTGTCCTCCATGCCACTGCCGTCAGATGTGTCAAACTGTAGATGTGAAAAGTCAAAAATACCTTTAGATCTAAATATGACATTAATTTTTTAGCATCTTAACGACTTCAAATGAAAAAACTCAAAACTAGAAAGTTGTAGATCTTCAACCTGTTCGCTGGTTGGTTTCTGGACTGATAAGCCCCGGCTGGTGCTGGTTTGTTGTAAGAGAAAAATATTGTATCATGGCTGATAAGCCCTGGCTGAAACCAACAAGCGAACAGGCTGCTTGTCGAGATCTACAATTTTCATTTAAAAATTATCTTCATTTAATTCCGCAAAAAAAGATATGATTTGATATGATTAATATATCTTAGAAAAATCATATTTTTTTTGCTGTATTAAATAAAGATAATTTTATATGAAAATTGTAGATCTCGACAAGATCTACAACTTTCTAGTTTTAAGTTTTTCCATTTGATGTCGATAAGATACTAAAAAAATTAATGACATATTTAGACCTAAGGATATTTTTTACTTTTCGCACCTGCAGTTTGACACCGTCAAAGCCCAATCTAACGGTAGTGGCATAGAGGAAAAAATATTGAAGCAGTAACGCTGAAGTCAACCGAACTTTTTCAGTGGCTCACAGAAAATTATGATATTTTTTAATGACTCACGAGGAATTCCTCTTAACGTTAGGCTTGTACCCACACTAGCAGGTTAAATCGACATTCTTTGTGGGATTTGATTTCAACACTAGGACGGCGTTCTTTATGGGACAAAGAGAGCATAATACTAGTACAACGGCCTGTTTGCAAATTGGCATCAAAGGTAGATTTGGATTTTGGAGTCGGTAGAGTGTCTTAGATATTTAGTCAAATTTAGGTATAATATATAGTAAAAAATTAACAAAAGATTTATCACATCGTATATGTGCACATGTGATCTGGTACTCACAATAGCAACATAATACATGATGAACACCACCTATGCTGAGGAACACTTGTGGTGCCTTTCTCACTAGTTAACATAGCGAGTTGCTTGAATTAGTGGATCACAGACGATACAGGAAGATGTCGCAGTGCAATCCCGAGAACGTCCACTAGGAAGTAGATGAAGTAGTCATGGCTTGATCACTGCCGAGACTGGAAACGAGCCGTCGCGCAAGTTCCTTGCACTCCCAAAAACCTAATCGCCTGCATACCCAAACAGGTGTCGCAGACAACAATGGTTCTAGAGACCTACTCCCTCCGTCCCGAAAAGAGTGATATTTTTTTACTTTCAAACATCGTGTTTGACCGTTCGTCTTATTCAAAAATTTTATGTAAATTATAAAATAAATAAATTATTATTAAAATATCTCTAATGATAAAATAAGTCATAACAAAATATATAATATTTATAAAAAAATTTGAATAAAATGGATGGTCAAACAAGATATTTAAAAGTAAAAAACGACAAATCTTTTTTGGACGGAGTGAGTACCCCTCCAACCTTTCTATGCTTGCAGGAGATCGCTGCAAGGACAACTCGGGACCAACAAAAACAGAGAATTAGACGAGGAGTCCGACAATGCACCTGGATACTAGGCTTGTTCATGGTTTGGTTCAAACTGCTGGAATTGCCAAACCAGCCCAGACCAAAACGCAAAGCCGGTTTCAAATGAGTTGGATTGTCCCATCTCAAAAACCACTCAACCCATGGTCTTTATCATCTTCGATCTCGGCCCTCGTCTCAGGTCACATGAGGCCTTCACCAGCCGCACAAGGATGAAATCGATCACGTACAATTGCACGCACGCGTGACGAGTGGATCGATCGGGTGTCATCTTCCTCTTCATCCTACCCTTGGTCTCCACAGCAGCGTCGGTAATCCTGAAGGTGCGTGGCGAGCTACCTGTAACACCCCGTTAGAAGCTTACAGTAGTTGTGTTGTTGGATCACGTGGCTCAAGTGACATGTGGAGTCATGATTGGTGGATATAGTACACCTTATAAGTTTAGGAGGGTGAGGGTCAGCTTATAATCCTTGTCGTTCTAAATGTAGTACCTTTGAGTTAACCCTTTCATACGAAATGAGGATGAAAGTATAAGAGATGTGCTAAGTGTATGTAGTCTCATTTCACTTGCGAAACTAGGTATGTAGCCTCGTTCCACTTGCGAAACCAGGCCATATAAGCAGCCCTCCAGTTGCACCGAAGAGCAAGTCGGGGCGATCATCCTCCACCTCGGCTCCCACGAAGACCAGGATATGGCGCACGTCATCCGGGAGCGCGGCCCCTTCCTGGGTAGCCTCAGTCATAGCCATGGCGTCCGCACCCAGCACGCCCGCAAGTACGCGGCGACGAACTTGATCTCCGTTTCGACGACCAACGCAACTTCAGCTCGGGCAGCGATTCATGTGGGGATGTAGATGAGAACGACCTCCTCGATCTTTGGTTTTAAACCGTAGAAACCTGCAAAACTGACAAACCAACTTGGCTAACCTATATTCATCATTTGGTTTGAGAAATCGTCAAAATCCATGTACAATAGGCGTTGAATAGGCCTACTGGATACCGTGGAGTTACTAGGACTGACGAATTATCATGCTAACCCGTAGTCATATGGTTTGGTTCGAGAAATTGTGAAATCCATGTAAAACCGGTATTGAACATGCCTATTGGATACCACGGAGTTTCTGGGACTGACGAATTGTCACAGGCGATGCTATGAACGGAGTAACCGCAGGGAGTAACGGACAAAAAAAAACCTGCAACAATTACTCACATAACAAATCCATGTAAAACCGGCGTACTGCAGAGTTATCGGGACTAACGAATTATCACAAGCGACGTTACGAATGGAGTAACCTCAGAGAGTAATGGACAGAAATTCCCACAGCGATTACTCCATTGACTAGTGTTGCAAAATCAACCTCTCCTGCTAATTGCTCACTTGATGACTCCATTGACTAGTCCAAGTTGCAAAATCAAGCCCACCCCGCAGCACATCATGTCATGGCGCAGGCCGGCCCGAGCCTGTGCACGTCACGTCATGCTTATGTTCACGCGTGTGGAAGGTTCGACCCACCACATTAGATGGAGCTGAGGAAGATATTCAATACATTGCAGATCCATATCACACATTGATTGAACCACATTATGGAGGGAGGAAAGATTCAACACACCACATCACTTGATGAAGTCACCGTAGGCACATCGTTAAAAAAATACGGGCACCCACATCAAATTAAGGACTTGAAGGAACCCAACCATCAAAACTATGCTTAGTTCGCAAGTGAAGGTTGAACTTAAATGTGTTGAAATAAAATTTTAGGTGCGAAGACAAGAGAATCATTGCCGGTTGGTTTTAAAATCCGATGCTCATAAACTTTTTGCTTGCAAACCGGCACTTCTCACCGTTGATTTTAAATTATTCAATAGTGACGGACCGATAAGGACTGTGTGTTGTGTGGAAGAATTAAAAATGACCTTGTATGATTTATCGGGGTTTTCTTTGAAGATGAGTTTTTTTTTTGATATTTTGTTGGCGATTTGAATCTATCTCGTGGCATCCTTTGGGCCGTGCTTCTCACGTTATTTTCTCTTTATATTTGCGTATACAGGATGCATACTAATATAGACAAAGTTGTTGTGTTTTCAAGTTTCAACTCACGTGGCCGTACGAGCGATCAATCCTGTATAATCGGATCAGTCAGCGTCCAAGTGGCCGATCAACTACCAATTTTATCACGTAACAACTTGATGACAAGTATTGTTCAGAAATGGGTAGATGGAACTTCTTTGTCAGATATTATCACGAGGTGACCGGCACACGCAAAGCTAGCTAGCCACAAGCACAAACTGACACGACGATTCCATCAACATCTCATATATAAGATAATTTATCCATTGTTTAAATGGAAAGCCCGCAATTATAGTGATAGTGATGCAATGCAATGGCCACCTGCAACTTCCATATTAGGAAATAAAATAAAGATATGTGGCCATTATGTCTTCACAAAGTCGTCGTCAGAAGAAGTGAAAGATACCACCAATTATCTCTCCAACGTCTGTGAACCATATCATGCATATATATGTTAGTACAAGTACTCTTTTTGATGAAGACACTCATATCTGATATATAATCAAGACACTCAAATTATAAGGTATTTCAACTTTCTTGGAGAGTCAAATTATCTTAAGTTTGACCAAATTTATATAAATAATAATAATATTTATGATATCAAATAAGTATCATTAGATTTTTTTTATTAATTATATTTTATAGTGTACCTATTTGATGTCATAAATCTTTGTAATTTTTTATATAGTTTTGGTCAAACTTCAGATGCTTTGACTCTCAAAGAAAGTTATAATAACTTATAATTTGCAATGGAGGGAGTACAAAAGATGGACGATGTGACAACATGATCTTAAAAAATAAGAGGGATAGAGCTTGTGTAAGGAAGGATTAAAATGGGCTTGTATGATTTATTGGTTTTCTTTTTAGATGATGAGTTTGTTTATGTTGATATGATTTTGTTGGTGATTCGATTCTATCTTGTGGCATCCTTTGACCATGTTTATCACGTTATTTTATTTTTATATTTGCGATGACTACGGCTAGCTGTGCTTGGATTGATGATGAATCAGTTCCGTTTCTCAATTGAATCACTTGAATCGGTTCTAAATGGTGCTAGGGACGTGGGATTTGGAGCGAAAACGATTCTCTTTTCTTTGGATAGTCCTCAAAACTGCAACATTGTGGTTGTACCGATTCCGTTTCTACCTCATTTCTTTAGCGATTGTCTTTTAATAATCCTTTTCAAGTACAACAATTTAGAATATGTTGTATTTAAGTTGTTGTTTGTCCACAGAAAGTTCAGATTTTTTTCTAAAGCATATTTTTATGTATATGATTTTTTATAAAAAAAATATTTTTTGTGAATTAGAATCTAGCCTATCAGCCGAACAATTTTACAAAGTGATTCAAATTCATCATGTAAAACATTTCTTGAGAAAATCTAGGTTTGAAATGTTTCTATGAGAATCTAGATTCCTGCCAATCACACCCTATAAATTTCAGATATTTTTTGTTCCTTTTTTTTAATATATCTAAGGAACGCAAGCCTCTCCAGTCTCTTAAAAAAAAGTGGCTGCTAAGTGGCCGGTCAGTATCAATTTATCACGTGACATTGTGACAACATGGCAAGTATTATTCAGAAATCGGAAGATGGAACTTCTTTGACCGATTATGACGAGGTGACCGACAAATGCAAGGTAGCCACAAGCACAAACTGACACGATTCCATCGATCATCAAGAGACCTCATATCTGTAGGAATAATATATACCCACTGTACTGTACTGTACATAACAACAGTTTACTATTCAGAGACGTACAGGGAAAGCCCGCAATAATTGCGATGTAGTAGTGGCCACTTGCAATTGCCGTATAAGGAAAGATCAAAGATATGTGGCCATTATGCCTGCAGAGCGTCGTCGCCCTTCTCTCCATCGGCTGAAGAAGCAGTGAAAGAGACAGCAGGCTTTGGATCAGTCTTCACCACTAAACTCAGCACCTCAGGTCGCGAGTAGTGCCCCACCACGTCGAAATCGAACTTGGCTTGAACGATCTCTCCAAGGTCTGTGAACCAACCACATGATCAGGCAGTTTCTAGTGAGAAATGAGAGTTGTCTGGAACACATCATTCTAGCATATGATGATTGATGAACACCATTAAGAAACTTTGAGTAGAATTTGTTTGAATCGCCTCATGGTTTCTTACCCAGGTCAGCCGTAACGAGGCCCTCGCCGTCGAAGTTGGGGCCTGCCAACACTGTCCCGGACGGTGAAACGATGACACTCCCTCCAGGACACACAACGGTCTCCGGGGACGGCTCTTCGTCAAGTCCACCGAATGTGTACTCCGGAGGGGGAGGGTAGTCCTTTCTGCGACAGTACTGGTTTGCCGACACCACGAAGCATCCCCCTTCGAGGGCAATATGCGTCATGGACGCCACCCAAGTTGGGGACGCATCAGCTGTGGGAGCACAATATATCTGAATCCCTGCACAAACACACACAGAGAGACAAAAAATAAAACCTCAAGTACATGAGCGAGACACTTAAAGTAGCTACGATTCCATGAATGAAATAGCTAGGAATATATACCTTTGGCGTACATGGCTGTCCTGGCAAGTGGCATCTTGTTTTCCCAGCAGAGGAGGGCACCGATTTTTCCCAACTGTGTATCAAAGACGGGCAACGTGGATCCATCTCCAAAACCCCAGAATACACGTTCCAGAGCAGTAGGCACGAGCTTGCGGTGCTTCCCTAGGTATTTTCCAAGCGGGTCGAAGAAGAGCGCCGTGTTGTAGAGTGTGTAGCCTGCCCTTTCAACCACCCCCATCACCAGAAACACCTTGTATTTTCCGGCTAATGAAGCTAAGCGGGACACTTCTGGGCCTGCATTCATGAAACGTTTGTAAAGCGTTTTGTGTAGAAGCAATAGATGTTTTTTTTAAGGAATCAGCAATAGATGTTTACAATTCAGGAAAAATAAACATGGATACATTAACATCGTTTTAGAATACCAGGGACTTCTATGGCAGCTGCATGATACTTGCGAAAGTCTTCCTTTCCCTTGGCAGTGCGATTGCCAATAGCCAGTCCAAAGGTACATCCATGAGGGTAGCCACCAATGAAGGCTTCTGGAAATACCACCAGCTGTGAACCGTTTCCGGCTGCCTCCGCTATGAATTTCTCCGCTTTATCTGTGTAGCAAAATGCAGTGAAGAAATTTACCAAATGCCACATGTTCAATGGTATAAGACTTACTTCCTCTATCCTGATATAAAATATATTCTATATATTTTTAAACATACACTCTTACTTTCTTTCCTAATAAAGACGTTCATCCACATGATTAAAGGGGAATTGCTTCATAAATAATGGCAGGTAGCAATAATCTACCTACCAAATTTTTTCACATTTTTTTCTCAAATCCTTTTTTATATGAGTATAATTTTTTTAATGTTTCTATAACTATATTACAAATGGAGGGAGTATAACAGAGAAAGAATTATCAGAAAAAAAACATGTGACTCTAGTACTTGGTAGGAACTGAGGTGCCACATGGTAGCATGCCTATAAAGGTGTTATACTTTCTCCGTTCCAAAACAAAACATAAATATCATTTCTCAAAGAGTCAAACAATATCAAATTTAATTAACTTTATAAAAGAATTATCAAGATTTGTACCCCAAAATTGATCTATTAGAAAAATATATTTCATTATTGATCTAATGATGCTTATTACATATCATAAAATATTACTCCCTCCCATTCAAATTATAAAACATTTTGACTTTTCTATCTACATTGATTTTATTATGTAGTTAGACAGTGTATATCTAAGCATAGCAAAAGCTATATATCTAGAAAAGTCAAAATATCTTATAATTTGATATAAATATCTTATAATTTGAAATGAAGGGAGTAGTATTTTTTATATCGATTTGTTTAAAATTGAGATGATTGAATTAAAAAAAACGATATTTATATTATTTTTTATTATCAGGGAGGATGGAGTATTTCCTTCAAATGCGTGTCGCACCTCAAATACCTCATCATCCAGGCTCCCAGAAAGAAAAACTGCCCACGCAACTCATGATGCACCACTATCTAACGAAAAGCTAATACAATTCCCCACTATTTTTCTAACGAAAAAGCTAATACAATTCCTTTAAGCTCACTGGTCCCTTCATATATCTAGGAATTATCAGCAGTAGTAGAGAAATCTAGAATGTCTACTTCAAGTAGATGCTATCATGCCAATCAACAACTGATACGTATACGTATGGCTAATATATACTCTTCTCTATTGATAAAATAGGTGCACTCTCGTACCCGTTCTTAAAAAAAGAGAGGTATGGCCAATATTGGTAAAGCAGCTACAACATAATAACACTGTCACAATTCAGTTCAACGATTTCCTTCACCAACTTCTACGAGTAGTACGAGCGGCCATCACGCCACACAAATTAAGTGAATACTAATTTTGGCGAGACAAGCAAGCAAACACCTCTCTCGCAGCACCAATCCAGACAGCCACACACGGCTGGGCGCGAGAGAATAGCAACCATGGATGGGCGCTACTGACTCCAACAATTGCAAGAGAGAGAGAGAGAGAGAGAGAGCAAAATCGCACGCACCGAGAGTAGCGGGGGTGTCGTAGAACACGGACGACGCCTGCACGACGGTGGCACGCACGGTTGTGGCGGCCTGGTCGGCGCCGGCATTCTTCATCTCCACCTCCGCGATCACGGGCTCGCTGCCCGAGCTCGATGGGGCCAGGGCCATCGTCTCCGACTGCCAAGCGATCGAGTAGAGGTCTGGGAGAGCCGAGAGGGGAAAGCAGAAGGCGGGCTACTTGTCGTGTTCCTTGCCGAGGTAGTCGCGGACGAACTGGGCGCGAGCGAGCGTGCGAGCGCGCTGGGGCTCGATGTGGACGGTAGGACTTAGGAGAGGTGGATGCCGAAGGCGAAGAGGGAGGCCGTGGTGGACGGGGACGGAGCACCTACCAGGCTACCAGGCCAGCAGGCACCAGCCCACACCACCCCATGCTGGGCAGCAGGCAGGGTTCAGGCTACCGTGAAAAAATACGGGACCTCAGCGGTAGAAGTGATTTTCGCGAATTTCACCGATTTTAGGGATTTCTCGGCAAAAAAAAAAGTTCAAACGGACTCACGAAAATTTGTCTGAAGCTTGACCGAAGAAATGGAAGTTATTATCGGTAATGCTCTGTCCAGAACGTTTCCGCACGCTCCGCTCGTCTCGCCCCGCCCGCGCAGATTCGCCCTGCCTGCGATCGACGAGCCAAGGCACTGGGCCACGCCACCATCTTCGTCGCCATGTTCTTCGGTCGCACCAGCCTCATGTCCTTCCACACCGCCGTCCTCGAGCTGCAGCGCCCAAACAGGCCTGCCGTAGCTGACTCCATCGCGGCAGGCACCTCCATCCGATTGCCGTGGCCACCTCCACTGCGCCAGGCGCCTCCACTGCATCGGGTGCCGACATCAGCTGTCGTGGCCGCCTCCACTGCGTCAGTTCGTTGCGCCGCCCATTATGATGAAAACGCGTATTGCAAACCTATGTTCTAGATGTTTCAGATGTATGTTGTAATTGTTTTATACGGATGTTGCAAAAGTAGATTGAGATGTTGCATGTGTTGCAATGGTTTGTACACGTATGTTGCAATATGTTCTCAATGTTTCATCTATTTTTCAGATTATGTTGCAGGTGTGTTTATCTGGATGTTGCATATGTTTCACACAAATATTGCAAGTGTTTTATTTAGATGTTGTTTATGTGTTGCAATGGCTTTTAAGTGTTTTTCACGTGTTTTTGTAAGTATTTTAGACGCATGTTTCAAGTGTTTTATCTGTCTTTTTTTTTATATTATATATTTAGATCTAGTGGTGTACATAGGTTGCCCGTGAGAAGCAGCAGAGGGCATGAGTAGTCCCTCTGCGAGCGCGTGGCACGGGCCCCGCGTATCCGATCTTTAACAGCGTGCTTGGTTCATCGATTCATTCCGGCATCAGGTGGACCTGCTAAAAATAGAACGGTTTGTCCGGCGTTTTTTGGTGGAGCGAGTCGATTCTGTCTGCTTGCATGAGATTTATTACTCTACGGGGAATCAATTGATGACGAATGGTGCAGTTCCATGCCGTGAACCAAACGGCATCGCTAGCTTCGGTATTAGGCTCGGACCACTCCGGATCATCTCACATCGCAAACCACATGCTGGATCTACAAATCCTCCTTATAACACAAACACAAAGTTTTCTACTTGTTACTCTTCATTAATGTTTCTGACTCTCCACTTTTCCTAAAGCATGGAAGGGATGGCACCGGCACATATCAAATATATGCAGAAATGCATGGCAAAGAGTTCAAAGAGATTCTTGGGGATATCTTTGATGTAGAGGTTTGGATGCTTATTGTTGCAACGGTAAATAAATGTAGCAAACACCAAAGTTGATGGGTCATCATTATTTCTAGGAAGTGGCACGGCTCTTGCAAGACAAATATTTGTGGGTAATGTTTTTCAAAACAAAAATTGCTATAGTATGAAACCATCTTACAAGGATCAGAAGTGGAACCTGGCTTGTATCCTTGGGAGTTCAAGCTCATGGTGTGATGTTTATTGTTTGCCTATGGAATTGAGCATTTTGTACCACTGCGAGTATTATTCCTAGAAGCTGTGAGTTCAAGTAAGCAATGGATAATATCAGTTTGTTTAATATATATTCCATCTGTCCCTGAATAAATAGATTCTTGGAGTTGTCTTAAATCAATTTTTTTAAATTTTGACCGAATATGTAGAAAAAACATCAAGATTTATGATATCAAACTAGTATCATTAAATTTACCATAGAATATATTTTTATAATATGCTAATTTTATGTTATAGATGTTGTTAGTCTTTTCTATAAAGTTAGTCAAACTTAAAAAAGTTTAACTGGCACGGATTCTAGGAATTGATTTATTTGGGGACAGAGGCAGCATGACATTTGGAATATCAACTCCTTTTAACTTCTACAGAAGAAGTTTCAATCTCTGCACCATAATAACTATATGCAAAAAATACATTGTACCTTGTTGATGTTAAAGAATTGCTTCTGCGTGCTACGACATGTTTGCGAAAAAAAGAATTGCTTCTGCATATCTTGTCGAAGAACTGGCCACGGAATACGAGTATTCACAAATTCGTGTTTGCTTGCACAGAAAAGATACGCAAGAGTTTTTTTTTAAATAAGATACGCAAGAGTTGAGGGGTCACGTCCTGTGCAGAATTACAAGCTAGCAGGAAACAGCCTTATTATTTTTTTTCAAGCACTCATCGCTCATGAATGAACATGAACACAATAGGGGGACAAGCGGTGTTTTGTGACCGGGGTAATGTCATGGCCCAACAATGCCATGGACAGTATTCTTGTTGGGTTATGGCTGTCAAGTCCTTTTGCTTGCGGCACAGCCCAAGAGTGGCCCGTGAACAGAGTACCGTGTCGGGGCCCAAGAGATGCTTATAGGCTTCTCTCTCCCATTTTCTTTCTTTTGGCTCAAGGTCACGTGAGATTTCCAAGATGGCTGATAAGTCCGTAAAAAAGTGTCGAAAATTAGTGCAATTATTTAGGAGTCGGTCTAGCTTACTGAACAGAAGTCCGCAATAACTTTCATGCAATGGCAACATGCAACTGCTATATAAGATAAGAGATGTGTGATCATTAGGTCTTCAAGACGTCATTGGCCTTTCCAGCGTTAGTCTTCTCTGATGCGGAAGTGAAGGAGACGGCGGGCTTTGGATCAGCTTTCACCACCAAACTCAGCACCTCAGGTCGCGAGTAGTGACCCACCACGTCGAAATCAAACTTGGCTCGAACAATCTCTCCAAGGTCTGCAGAACCACAACAGCCAGCTTCTAGTTAGAGTTGTGTGGAATAAATCATTCAAGCATATAGCTAGCATACCATGTCCAGGACATATGACCATATGAACATAAGTGGGATATTTTGAGTAGAATTTAGTATGTGAATTCCCCGGTTTCTTACCCAGGTCAGCAGTGAGAAGGGCCTCGCTTTCGTAGTTGGGGCCTGCCAACACTGTTCCGGATGGTGAAATTATGACACTCCCTCCGGAACAAACGACAGATTCCGGGGATGGCTCTTCATCTAGGCCACCAAATGTATACTCAGGAGGGGGAGGATAGTTCTTTCGGTGACAGAACTGGCTCGCTGACAGCACAAAGCATCCCCCTTCAAGGGCAATATGTGTCATAGAAGACTGCCAACTTGGCATGCAATCAACTGTGGGAGCACAATATATCTCAATACCTGCACAAACATAGGATGATTCAGCATGAAAGATAAACTCAAGTACATGAGACATTGTGCAATTTAGCATTACACCTTGTGGTTCCAAAGTATATCCCAGCCCTCTTTATTTAAAATACAAATTCCAAGAAATAGGAATAATACCTTTGGCATACATGGCCGTCCTGAGAAGTGGCATTCTGTTTTCCCAGCAAATGAGAGCACCAATTTTTCCAAGCGGAGTATCATAGACAGGCATTGTAGATCCATCTCCAAACCCCCAGAATACTCGTTCTAGTGCAGTGGGCATGACCTTGCGGTGCTTCCCTAGGTGTTTTCCCAGCGGATCAAAGGAGAGCACTGTGTTGTAAAGTGTATATCCTGCCCTCTCAACCACCCCTATCACCAGATACACCTTATATTTTCCAGCTAATGCAGATAAGCGGGACACTTCTGGGCCTGCATTCATAAAATGTTTGTAAAGTGCTCTATAGAAACAACAGATGTGTACTACACACCCTTCGTAACATGTAAAAGATATCAAGCAGGAAGCATGGGTGACAGTAGGTAATGGTGGTACACGCTATAAACTAGAATGAGAATCATCTAATGTAAAACAGCAAAGTTAGAAACATGCTCAGTGCAAATTCTAGAAATAGCACTGCCTTACCAAGCATCAATGTGTTTTGTGTATTCATTGTCAGAAAACTTGCCAAGAGTGAGAAAAATGGATACATATGCTCATGGAAGAAAATATGCTGTTTTTCAAGACTGTCAACCACATAACTCTACTTCCAAGGGATAATCCACCCCATTTCCCAACCTTTGAGGAACTAGGTTGTTTTCCATTAAGAAGAAAATAAGCAACGGAATTCAAATTGAAGAGGAATCGAATCTGGGTTGTTGAGATGCACAACCACACCTCACACTCCAATATGTTCAGCTATGCTCACTTCCTATACTAGTATCCTAAGATCTAAAATACAAACTAAATGCATGTTTTAAGTGCTTCCGTTCAGTAATATCTAATATGCAACCAGCACCAGGTGCAATATATCATCTTGCCGTATGGACCGCAAATTAGAGGTTATACCCTCCATTTTTATATTTTAATGAGGTAGTTGCTTACAATTCTTTAGGTTTGTGCTTCATTCTTAAGACTGCAGTTCACACTACAAGATTATTGTGAGCATATTATAATTACAAAAGGGTAAAGTTTCTACCCCAAAGAACAAAGCATGGTAATCCTCGTGAAAAATAATGTAGAACAAGGATACATTAACATCATTTAGAATACCAGGCACATCTATGGCAGATGCGTGATACTTTTGAAAGTCTTCCTTTCCTTTGCCAGTTCGATTGCCGATAACCAATCCAAAGGTAGATCCATGTGGGTAGCCACCAACAAAGACTTCCGGAAACAAAACCAACTGTGAACCATACCCAACTGCCTCTGCTATCAATTTCTCCGCTTTATCTGAAACGTAATGCAGCGAAGAGATTTACAAAATGTCACATCTCTAATGCTACAAGACTTAAAGCTGATAAAAGGATTATTGTAAAAAAAACATGTGACCCTAGTACTGGGTAGAAACTGAGGTGTCACATAGTATTAGTAGCAAGCCCATAAATATTTTATTTCCTCAAATGCCTGTATGTCGCACCTCAGATACCTCATCCTCCAGGCTCTAAGCAAGAAAAACTGTCCACACAACACACAAACCACTATAAAAATTCCTTTTCTCATCTAGCTGATAGTGATTCACCATGAGAAAACCAAATGCTCCATATGTCTAGGATCAATGGATCATTATCACCAGTAGTAGAGAACGATGTCTCCTTAGAAGTAGATGCCATCATGTCAATCAACTGCTATTGTATTGGAGAAATGAAGCTACACATAATGACACTGTCACTATTCAATTAAACGATTTTCTCAACAACTTTTACGAGTACTAGCCATCACTATACACAATTCAGTAAGCTAGTTTTGCCGAGACAAACAAGCGAACACCTCGCGCGCAGCACCAATCTAAACAGCCGCACGGGCGAGACAACGAATCGAACACCACAGGCGCTACTGTAACAACAGCAAACATAACGGGTAGAGAGAGCAAAATTACACGCACCGAGAGTGGCAGGGGTGTCGTAGAACACGGACGACGCCTGAACGACGGTGACCCGCACCGTTGAGGCGGCCTGGTCGGCGCCGGCGTTCATCTCCACCTCCGGGATCACGGTCTCGCTGCCGGAGCTCGATGGGGCCAGGGCCATCGTCTCCGACTACCAAGCGATTGCCTGAAGGTCTGGGGGTCTGGGAGAGGGGGCCGCGGACGGCGGGCTACTTGTCGTGCTTCTTGCGGAGGTAGTCGCGGACGAACTGGTCCCGAGCGAGCGTGCGAGCGCGCTGGGGCTCGATGTGGACGTAGGAGAGGTGGATGCCGAAGGCGAGGAGGCCCGCGCCGAGGGCGAAGAGGGAGGCCGTGGAGAGGAGCTGCCGGGAAGTGGACGGGGAGCACCACCCCATCCGTCAGCGTCAACAGGGGGAGTGGCGGTTTTGTGGAATTGTGGGGGAAATTCTCTGCAGGGTTACCACATCTCGCCGAGAAATTTCAATACATAACCCTCAAATCGCAGCCTCTCACATCCAGTTGCTTTTCAATATTTGACCCTGGGCACGTGAATTCTCACACCTCATCACACGGGAAAAGACCGAAAAACCCCCCGCCTCTGAACCTGAACGCACGCTCTGCAATCGTTCGTGCTCCGCACCGCCTCGGTTCGTGCGCCTCCTCACGGCCATCTGTCGCGGCGGGCATCTTCGGTCGGGGAGTGACGGCCGGCCACCGGCGGCGGGCGGCCTCCGGCGACGCCTCACCACTGCCGGCCCAAACCCTGGGCCGTCGGGCCACGGAACGGCGGCGGGCGGAGGAACAGCGGCGCCGGCTACCACCAGCGGCGGCAGGCAGGGGACGACCAGGGCGGGCGGCTGACAGCGACGGGCGGGCTCCGGCGGCGGCGTCGGGTAGTCGCGCTCGCGGTCGCGACGAAGCTAGCGAAAAAAAAACGCGAACAGGCCAGCGGACGCCAGGGGATTTCAGGATAGAAGGCGGGGTATTTCAGTCTTTTACCATGTGCTGAGGAGTGAGAAGAGATAATTGGAAATCCTATCGTATACTCTTATAAAGCTAAACCCCACTAGAGATTTCTCTCAACATGTAAGTTATTCATCTCAATAATTCACTAGAACTTGCAATTATAGCTAACTAGTACATATAATTATGATAGTTATCTCTTCATCCACTAACGTGCATTTAGTTGTCCATGTCGATATGTCAACAGAAATGTTATACAACATATGTGTTTTAGCAAAAAAAAAAAGACATATAGATTGTTTTTATCTCTCTCCCTCTCTCTTTCTCACCGGTGACCGCCGGCGACGGCGATCGGCGAGCTCGCCCCAGCGCCAGCGCCCGGCGCGCCTCCCCGCGCCCATGGCGGCGGCGACGGCGACGGATCTGTGATTTGTCATGCCATAGAAAAAAAATTATGATCTATGATCTGTGATGTGTGGAGGCTGGAGGTAGAAGAATGGTGGAGGCTGTTGGATCTTAATCTTATGGTGCAAAAAAATTTATGTGCTGAAACTACATAAAACACATGGTTGTACAGTAGCCAGACTCTATGTCAAACCATTCACTGAAATTAATTTAAGATAGTTTCATTCATATAACTATAAATATAAATAGTCTATTTTTTTTAAATTATCTGAAATTCCCGCAGCAACGCGCGGGGTATTCTCCTATTGTAAAAGAAGAGAAAATCTGAGAAATCCCCCAAATCTAAAGAATTCACGTGTCTAAGGTCAAATATTAAGAGGCCTACGAATTGGATGTCAAATATTGAGAGGCTTACAAATTGAGGGTTAAATATTAAAATTTTTCCATTTTCGCCTCGTGTGCAGCGTCATGGTCCGACGACGCGACCACCTAGCGTAGGCGCGCGGAGACATGACAGTAGTGCGGTTTCGGATGGGGGTTCCCCAGATTTCAGGTTCTCCTACGGTTTTCAAGATCGGGGATCCTAAATTTATCGGATTCGATTTCGGGTTTCGATTTCTATCCGTGGATATCCGATGAAGGTCCGAAATATATCATTTTTTTAATAAAAGCTCAAGTGTTTTATTAATAAATTTTTTATGTGAGCTACTAGATTTGTTCTAAGTTGAGTCACGAAATTATGTGTTGTTTACCACCTCTTGTTTGTATATGTAAATATGTAGTATATATCATGGATGTGTTGCTGAAATTCCTTGTTGTTTTCTTGTATTGTTGTTTACCACCTCTTGTTTGTATATGTGAATATGTAGTATATATCATGGATGTTTTGCTGAAATTCCTTATTGTTTTCTTGTATTGCCATATAATAGTGGGTTTCAGGTTTTGGGCAACCAATCGGGTTTTCAGGATTCATCGGGGTTGGTTTTGGGTTTGGATTATCACCCGAAACAGTATATAGGGTGGTTTCGGGTTTCCGATTTAGGACTGTGGAGACTCCACCCGACCCGAATTCGCCCCGTTGCCAGAGCGTCTACCCTTCCAGCGTTTGATCTGGTTGAATCTGTAACATCCAAGGATGCGATGCTAGCTCGGCAAAACATGTAAAGTGAAACCACTTATTACGTGCAAACATGGAATCCAATTCAAGAAATATACTTCGGTCCCTCAAACAATTTAAAAATTTGGCATATTCATATCGCAGATAAATATGTACTCACATGCACATGTTGATATACAAACTCAAACTAGAAAAAATAAAACGAAAATGACAATAAGATGCATGTGCACTAAAAGTCAAAATCCTTAAGTGCACATCTTTTACTATACGAAATCAGCACCAGAAATCGGGCTACCGGATCGGGCCACGTCGTCGGTTAACATGCTAACCGTTCGATCTGGCAAACAAGTGAAATCAACCATTCGATCGGGGTCTTCGCAGATCTCCTACCTGTTACGCCGTGAACCGGGCCATCGCGAATGGTCGCGAACCTGTTCGACCGAGCACTCGCCTCCTCCGCCACGGCCCTCGGACTGCTCCGCTCGTGCTCATGCGCCGCCAACCTTCGCGCTCGCCCGAATTTTTTATTTTTTAGCCCTTTTTTTTGAAATTTTTTCACAAATATGCCCCTGAAGGTAAGATTTCAAAATCTGGACCCTTAGCTCGGCGCCAGCGTTGAGCTCTTGGGCTCAAAGCAGACGTGGTGGTGACATGGCAGGCAGCTCGACGCCAGTAACCCTGGCGCTGATCTCAGCACCGTAGATCTTGTAGCCGAGCTCGACGCCGTAGATCTTGGCGCTGAGCTCGGCGTCAGGGTTACTAGCGCCGAGCGTGTCTTACGTATGGGCCCCAATCCTTTCTCTCTTCCTCTCCCTCTCTCTCTCTCTCACACCTCCCTCACTCGAGCAGCGCACCGCCGCCGCCGCCCTCGCTCGTGCCCGCGCTGCGTCGCCACCATGCCCTCTCCCGCCCCCGGCCACCCTCGCCCACGCGGCCTCGCCCGTGCCACGCCGCATGCCGCATGGCCATCGCCACGGCCCCCTCATTGTGTCCCCCATGCTCGCGCCAGCGCCCATGCCATGCCCCATGCCCTCGCCGGATCGCCCTTTGTGTTAGCCCTCGGCTCACCGCGCCCACAGCCCGTGTGCCGTGACCGTGACCATGCCGCCCGCCACCGCCGACCTCGGCCGCTCCCGCCGCTGCCACCACCACACACCACGGCGCCATCATTCCTCGGCCATGCCCCCAGACCTCATAGCTCCAGCCAAGCACCACCACTGCCCGACTTCGTTGGCTGACCCACGCCCAACATCCGCTGCGACTCCGTCGACGTCCGTGACTCCGTCGTCGGACAGGTAAAAGTTGTGAATTTGCAATGTGCGTACTTAGTTAGCTTTGATTGTAGTGTAGTAGTTTTGGCATTTGTTATTTACTAGTTGTCGGTGTTTCGAACCGGGGGGTCCTCAACCAACCAGTGAATTTGAACTGCGTGCCCCTAATCCCGGATGGTGATGCAAAGAGACACAAGATTTATACTGGTTCAAGCAATTGGTGCCCTCGTCCCATCCGAGAGATCGATCTTGTATTCCTTGCAATCAAGTGCTTGTAGTAGGGGTTACAAAATTTGGGTGAGAGAGGGAGCTAGTCCTGTGTCTCGGCTGAATGGTGCTGTTGCTTGAGACGTTGCTCTCGGTGACTTGGGAGAGCGTGTGTTACAAAGTGTCGCTACGCATGTGTGAGAGCGTGGTTCTTTCGTATGTTTTTTCGCCTCCCCTAGAGCTATCCCTGGCTGCTTCCTTTTATAACCGCAAGGAGGGAGCCAGGAGTACATGAGTGAGCTACACGTGGAGCCTACTGTAGTTCAGTCCTGTAGCAGCATGGTGTTGGGAATGGTGATCGGTACTTGACTGGTGCGTCGTGCTAGCTAGGCTCGAGGTTGTTGAGGTCGTGGGGGTCCTTGTTGACGTCTAGTCAGTATGGCCTCCACTGTAGGAGACTTGCCGTGCCTTGTGGATTCTTGACTTGGTGGAGTGCCGAGGCCTGGCGGGTGCTGTAGCTGATCGTGCTGAGGCCTGCTTTGCCGAGGCCTCGGAAGTGACCCATGTATGATGTGGGGGTCTTGATGGTCAGCGTCGTACCCGGTTTAGGTGGAAGAGTGCGGAGCATGTGACCGCAGGGCACAGTAACTCCTGCACCGTCAGTAGGGATGGTAAAAAGGAGATTTGACCGCTATCCCATCACCCCTGTTGCTGTACCCTGCCAGTCGTGGTTGACGTAGTAGGTGTGACTAGGCGCACTTAAACGGATGGGACGGCTCACCAGAGGGACGGTTGAGGCGGAGGCGACGAGGATGCGGGATGAGCCCGGCCTCGGCCGAGGCGGAGAAGGAATAGTACGTCCGAGGCCCTACCGAGGGTCTCGGATGAGGCGGAGGACGAGCAGTTGGTCTTTCATGTTGATTCTGAGACTACAGGGACCCAGACTTGACCCTCCACGCCGCTTTGTCCTTATCGCAGGAGTTAGGTAGCACAGGGCAGTACGGGTGTCAGCAGGGGGCACAGTGATGAGCATAGTGGCAGGTAACCCTACTGCCCTGGGCCCCTCATCCCGTCGGTCCTCTGCTCAGATCTTGCACTAACGTCTGGCCGACGTCTGCGGGAGTAGTTGGGCGCATTAACTGGTCGTGACGTTTTGTCAGAGGAGTCGGTTGGGACGGA